TCTTCTTCTTCTTCTTCTTCTTCTTCCTCCTCCTCCTCTTCTTCTTCTTCTTCTTTTTCTTGTTGTTGTTGTTGTTGTTGTTGTTGTTGTGGTTGTTGTTGTTGTTCTTCTTCTTCTTCTTCTTCTTCTTCTTCTTCTTCTTCTTCTTCTTCTTCTTCTTCTTCTTCTTCTTCTTCTTCTTCTTCTTCTTCTTCTTCTTCTTCTTCTTCTTCTTCTTCTTCTTCTTCTTCTTCTTCTTCTTCTTCTTCTTCTTCTTCTTCTTCTTCTTCTTCTTCTTCTTCTTCTTCTTCTTCTTCTTCTTCTTCTTCTTCTTCTTCTTCTTCTTCTTCTTCTTCTTCTTCTTCTTCTTCTTCTTCTTCTTCTTCTTCTTCTTCTTCTTCTATTTCTTCTTCTTCTTCTTCTTCTTCTTCTTCTTCTTCTTCTTCTTCTTCTTCTTCTTCTTCTTCTTCTTCTTCTTCTTCTTCTTCTTCTTCTTCCTCTTCTTTCTCCTCCTCCTCCTCTTGTTCTTCTTCTTTTTCTTTTTCTTCTCCCTGTTCTTCTTATTCTTCTTCTTCTAATTCTTCTTCTTCTTCCTCCTCCTCTTCTTCTTCTTCTTCCTCTTCTTCTTCTTATTATTATTATCATTATTATTATTATTATTATTATTATTATTATTATTATTATTATTATTCCTCTTCTTCTTCTTTTTCTTCTGCATTCCGAGCCCTAAGGATTCTTTGCTACAAGATATTACCCTGCTCCGTTTGTCTCTCTAGTTCTCTTTTCAGGATAATTCCAATGGTTTGTAGCTCGCCTGTATATCAGTCCAAGGTCATTTTGGTCTGCCTCGTGCTCTAGGGCCTTGTGAACACATTTCTTATCATTCTGTTTCTGGCATTCTGTCTACATACCCCAGCATTCAACACTATGGCCCTCGTGATGCCAGCGATCAATGGTGATTTAATACATATTTTGGATTTTATTGTTGCCACTCACTCGCTATTCCCGACCTTTGGATGTCCAAAGATTCATTATTAGACCTGGCTTTCAAACATATATAATAGGGCTGCATCTATTTAAATCTTTGAGTCCCAGGGGGTTTAGTATCACAGGCCCATGCGGTAGTAATGAGAGTCATAAAATCGGTGCATCATGCGTTTATTTGGGCTTCTAGGTTAGAACCTATGAACGTATGATGCGTTCCTTGGGACTCAAAGAACCTTCCCCAGAGAGCACACAGTAACTTTCCACATTTAACCAGATAGAACCCCACCCCCACAACCAAATTGAATCTCACCCCTTACTACTTCAAACCAAATAGTCACCCTTTCCACAGATCAACTAACCACCCTTTCCACAGATCAAATAGTCACCCTTCCCACAAACCAAAGAGTCAAAATTCCAACAACAAAATAGTCACAATTTCCACGAACCCAATAGTCACTATTCCCGCGAACTAAATAGTCACTATTCCCACGAACCCAATAGTCACTATTCCCACGAACCAAATAGTCACCTTTCCCATGAAACAAATATTCACCTCCCCAACAACACAAACATCACTGTCTGGTCCACACAAGTGCCCAGCAACACAGAATGTGCCAGACTTAAGACAAACCTATGTGATTGGAAGCCGAGATATAATGTGAAGATCGCCTTCTTGCAGTTTGGCCGACGAGATCGATGAAGATCTTCTATCCGAAGCTTTCAGATACATCTCCCATCGCCCAGTTTCTGTCCGGCCTGGCGTGTAGCTAATCATAGACACATCATTGCTCGTCTGTATCGCTGGCTAATTTTCCCACCATGGACGGGTAAGAGAGCGTATCTAAAGACGGTCCATTTGGCTTCTTTAATTCTCGTCACAAATTGAGAAAGGTTCTGCCTAAAGGGCACTGGTTGATTTGGTAATGGAAGTGGAGAAGAGCGGTTTGATTAGAGTGCGGGTTAGTTTTCTGTTGTGACTGGGTGAGACGTATTCTGTTGTGACTCGGTGGGACGTCTTCTGTTTTGACTGTATGGGACGTCTTCTGTTGTGACTGGGTGGGACGTCTTCTGTTGTGACTGGGTGGGGCGTCTTCTGTTGTGACTGGGTGGGGCGTCTTCTGTTGTGACTGGGTGGGGCGTCTTCTGTTGTGACTGGGTGGGGCGTCTTCTGTTGTGACTGGGTGGGACGTTTTCTGTTGTGACTGGGTGGGGCGTCTTCTGTTGTGACTGGGTGGGGCGTCTTCTGTTGTGACTGGGTGGGGCGTCTTCTGTTGTGACTGGGTGGGACGTTTTCTGTTGTGACTGGGTGGAGCGTCTTCTGTTGTGACTGGGTGGGGCGTCTTCTGTTGTGACTGGGTGGGACGTCTTTTGCTGTGACTGGGTAGAACGTCTTCTGTTGTGACTGGGTGGGACGTCTTTTGCTGTGACTGGGTAGAACGTCTTCTGTTTTGACTGGGTGGGACGTCTTTTGCTGTGACTGGGTGGGACGTTTTCTGTTGTGACTGGGTGGGACGTTTTCTGTTGTGACTGGTTGTGACGTCTTCTGTTGTGATTGGGTGGGGCGTCTTTTGCTGTGACTGGGTAGAACGTCTTCTGTTGTGACTGGGTGGGACGTCTTTTGCTGTGACTGGGTAGAACGTCTTCTGTTGTGACTGGGTAGAACGTCTTCTGTTGTGACTGGGTGGGGCGTCTTTTGCTGTGACTGGGTAGAACGTCTTCTGTTGTGACTGGGTGGGGCGTCTTTTGCTGTGACTGGGTAGAACGTCTTTTGCTGTGACTGGGTGTGACGTTTTCTGTTGTGACTGGGTGGGACGTTTTCTGTTGTGACTGGGTGGGACGTTTTCTGTTGTGACTGGGTGGGACGTTTTCTGTTGTGACTGGGTGTGACGTCTTCTGTTGTGATTGGGTGGGGCATTTTCTGTTGTCACTGGATGGGACGTTTCATTTTGTGACTGTGGAACAGTTTCTGTTGTGACTTGGTGTGGGCTCTTCTTTTTTTTTTTTTTTTTTTTTTTTGATGTGTGTTGGTTATTCTTCCTGTTTGAAAGTGTGAACGTTTATTTTATTTTATTTGTAATCTCACTGCTGTAACTGCAAGATAATAGGTTGAAATTCGCGTCGAACAGGATTTTTCCCCACCCAAAACCACACTGGCTTCAAATAGGTTTTAGGTAACGTGTTTGGAAATAAAGACGGTCGGTTTTATATTGACCATATCACTCCCTAAGTGCCCATTCGTCTGTAAAATATAGAGCTGCCACAATAAGTCCAATACACCCAGTGGCGTGGGAGAAGGTTGGTTACTTTTTTTAAAAACTGGTGTGAACCCTGATCGCTGATTTCACAGATATGTGTTCTAACCATATGCCACCAGGGTTTTATACATCACGACTGAAAGAGTAAAAATACTTTCGATCAGTTTCAATCAAGCCGTAAACAAACTAACATTTTCTCTGTTTCCATGGCAACCGGTCGCCGTCTGCTCTCAATCTATTTATTATTCATGCCTAATGCTGTACTAAAGCCTCATTTGCATCTGTATTTATTTCGTTAAATTGTGTACGAAAACTTCCTGACGTTACCGTAGTTAACCGCTCGGTAATTTCAAGGGGATAAAAGGGTCCATTTTAATTATAAGGTTCAGGTTTTAGCGAAAATGGAATCGCAAAGTGTCAGAGGGCAGGATATGTCATCAACATCAACAACAACAATAATAACAACAAAGCGGGAGGATTGCATACTGTTGTGCCCTTCCCCAGTTAGTGGGGGGGGGGGGGGGTGGAGGTGAACGACCTCCTCACCTTGAACAGTGAATAGAAGTTCATTATTTCATTTTTTTTTTCTACATTATATTATTTCACATTATTGTATTTATTTACGTTTCAAAAAAAAATTTTTTTTTAATTATTATTATTAGTCATTTCAACAAAGCCTAGTACCTCTTGAGCGCCCTTCCCTCTCCCCCCAAATCCCCTTAGACGATGTGTAAGAGGGCGTACCTGCCCTGTTCCTTGAACGATACATAGATATTCTCTTGAGAGAAAAAAAAAAAAAACAAGTTAATACAAATATAATTTACATTTGTGTGTGTGTGTGTTTGTTTTTATTTACAATTCAGCAGAGTAATATAAGGCACTTGAAGAAAACTTGGGCACCTGTATATTCCTCCACCTCCTTGGAATATATGTAAATGACCCAGCCTCGCCAAGCTCTCAAATTCCCTTGTGTCAAGGCCACTGTGATAGTGGCTCTCTTCTTCTTCTTCTTCTTCTTCTTCTTCTTCTTCTTCTTCTTTTTCTTCTTCTTCTTCTTCTTCTTCTTCTTCTTCTTCTTCTTCTTCTTCTTCTTCTTCTTCTTCTTCTTCTTCTTCTTCTTCTTCTTCTTCTTCTTCTTCTTCTTCTTCTTCTTCTTCTTCTTCTTCTTCTTCTTCTTCTTCTTCTTCTTCTTTTTCTTCTTCTTCTTCTTCTTTTTCTTCTTCTTCTTCTTCTTCTTCTTCTTCTTCTTCTTCTTCTTCTTCTTCTTCTTCTTCTTCTTCTTCTTCTTCTTCTTCTTCTTCTTCTTCTTCTTCTTCTTCTGCTTCTTCTTCTTCTCCTCCTTCTCTTTCTCCTTGTACCTCAGCGAAGTTTCGAGGAGAGATGTATAACATTCGTTGATGAGCTTTGTCAACAGCACTACGTTTGATGTTCATTATTGTAAGGCTGTTCTTAATGCTATCCCTCCATATTTTTCCGAGGTCTTTCACTCGCGCTATACCCGGTGTAACGTTTTAGTGTGGCTGGCTGTGGTATTAGTAACAAGGCATTCTTTTTAGGTGTCCAAACCACTTCATTTTTTTGTTCTTTTATGACTTGTAAGACTGGCAGGCTGAGCAAGCATAAATGTTTTAGCACAAAATGTCACAAGGTTTTTTTTTTTTTTGATTTATATGAAATTTATCACTGGCAACAATTATTTATCTCGTTCCGTTTTTATTTGCAGATTGATAAAGTCCCCAACCACGCCCCGATGTGATTGCGGCCAGGTTTTCTGGTGCAATGGCTACAACGGAAACAGTTGTATCCAATCGGATGGCATCCGGCGTATATCTTCATGCTGCTGATACGTCGACAAGCGCATACGTCGACCACTTGCCGTCCTTGAACTCTAGCCTGACATCATCACTAAGTGCTGACAAAGCGGCCTATGATATATTTAACTCAATGGTGGTGTGTCTAATCAATGGCACCATGATGAACTCCACCCATTGCGACAACCACACCACAAACGCCACTAACACCACCAGCCTGTCAGCACATGTTCTTCCACATTCTGTATGGCTAACAGTCTTCCTAGGTCTTCTTGCCGGGATCGTTAGCATTGTAACCATCTTTGGCAACATCACAGTACTCCTGGCGTTCGGTTTGGAGCGAACGATTCGCCAGCCAACCAACTACTTTTTAGCCTCTTTAGCAGTTTCGGATTTGTTGATAGGTACGTTCTCCATGCCTTTATACACCCAATATTTACTATGGGGAAAATGGCCGTTGGGACCATGGTCATGTGACCTGTGGCTTAGTCTTGATTGGACCGTTTGTTTGACCTCACAGTATACAGTGTTTCTCATCACAATGGACAGGTTTCTCAGCGTGAAGATCCCGGCGAAATACCGCAATTGGCGGACAGAGAAGAAGGTTATGGTTATGATATCTGTCACCTGGATACTCCCAGCAATTGTGTTTTTCACATCCATTATCGGGTGGCAGTATTTCGTGGGCGAGCGGAAGGTTGCAGACGAAGTGTGCGAGGTGCAGTTTATGAGTGAACCAATGTTTACTTTTCTTCTTACAATCGGTTATTATTGGATAACACTAGTAGTGATGTGCATCCTGTATGGGGGAATTTACAAAGTGGCCCTGGACTTACAGCGAAAATCTGACGCTAAACACAAGAAGATGCAATCTACAATGGAATTAGCCGGGGATAACCCTAATGCGGCTATTCGTAGCTTCGGAGGTGATGGAGAGGGAGCCAGTAATAACAGTAGCGGAGGGGGAGACAGCCATGCTCAATCCACGCCGCAGAATAATATCAAAAACAAGAAGAATAGTCGGAAGTCTCTGAAAGCCGCCTTGCCGTGTCCGCCATGTGGACAGGCTGTGAACACTACCAGTTTTAGCACTGGGAAAGCAGCAGTGGATAAAGACGACGACCGGTCAAGCAGTCCAGCGTTTGCTTCTGACGATGAGAACAGTAGCAGTGGGGGAGCAGTTGCTCCTGGGAAACCTCCTCTGACCTCAGTCAAATCAAAACCACCTGCAAGTGTCGCCAACAACACAGCTGTTTCCAACACGGGCGGTCTGGTTCGATCTATACATGCAGAAAGACTAATTTCACCGCCTACTAACCGTCAGGAAAATGAGAACCTTCTAATACCTCCATACGGTTACTCTAAAACCGACGCCAAATCCGGCAGCGATACAGGCTCGGACGTGGACGAACCACCCCCTCGTGGATTTAGCAATATTTACTCAACAGAAGCATCCGATCGCATGGAGAAACAAACCACGCCGCTTCTACAGAACGAGGTGAACAGAGGGTGTCGATTTATTGACGAGAAGAGCTTCTTGGCTATTCTAAGCTCCGAGAACGCCGCTCTGCTGCCAGTGACGACCGGAGAGTCCGAGATGGACGACTCAGATATTCTAGACATCAACACGGCATCGCCTATCTGGAAAAGACGGGCGTCGTTGCCTCCTCTTGCCTCTGACGTTTTTGATATCGATGATAACGTCAGCGAGAGTTTTATCAACACCGACTTCAGTATCGCCACCGAGTTTCCAGTGACGTCCAGCACAACCGTATCTGGCTACAGCAAGTACACCAACGGAGACCAGCGACCCCGAGCTGACACTGCCAATACTATGACATCAGTGACCACCGTTGCTGACACTGGAGCGGATGACAGCAATAGCAACAAATCCACAAGCGTGAACCCGGTCGCCAACGCAGCCGGACACGGCAACAACATCAACTGTACCAACCCTCCGCCATCAGAGACCAACACAAATGAAGACAGCTCCCGGTCGGACACCCTTTGTCTCTCCGCCGTCCGACGGCGTCGGGAAAAAGACACCCGTTTACACACATTTGTCAAATCCGTCCGTTCCCGCAATAGCCGTCGACGGAACCGAAGAGAAAGAAAGTCAAAGTCAGAAAATCGAGCCCGAAAAGCATTACGGACTATATCCTTTATATTAGGGGCGTTTGTCTTGTGCTGGACTCCTTATCACGTGGCTATCATGATCATGGCAATGTGTAGTAACTGCGTCAATATGAACTTATACGCATTCTCTTATTGGTTATGCTATTTGAACAGCCCTATCAATCCATTTTGTTACGCTTTTGCCAATGCTCAGTTCAAAAGAACGTTTATTAGAATAATGAGATTCGATTGGCATAGAACATAGCCACCATTTTTTTTTTTTTTGGTTATACATTTACTTACACACACTCACAAACACACATTCACTCACAAGGAAGTGCACTACATTTTATTAATTTTACCGGCTCAATAATTCGTACAACCCCCCCCCCCCCCTTTCCCCACCATCCCCCCGACAGAAATGTATGCCATATAGTTTTGTTTACCACAGTATCTCACGGCTACCCAGTATTTGTTAAATTGATTGATTCTTAGTCCATCTGATGTTACTTCAAGGAGCTCGCCTTGTGGGTGGAAAAGAACTGTAAGTTATATCTATAGTGCGTTCCCAAAGTCCTGGCGAACTTTTAAAATATGTAACTGAGTACCCTGACGGTGTCAATTGTTGCATGCAGCATGCTAATGATTGTGTTCTTGTCAGTAATTTTTTTTTTTTTTTGGGTAAACAAATATAATAAGTTAGTTGCGTATCCTTTATAGGACATTGCAGAACCAGCCCGAGCATTTTTTATTGCTGTTGTGGTTTTTCTAGTCACAGTTACGTCTAGTAGTTTGCCATTGCTTCCTGGACGATCGGCTTCGCGATACCACTGTTGAAACCAACGCAAGGAGCAAGGCCCGAAACTGGGATCGAACTCGGGACCCCGGGATTACAAAGCGCGTTCGCAACGCCTAAGCCACAGACGCCACAAATAAATATATAGTTTTTATTCTGCCTAATTTGCGATAGATAAAAAAATCCTACTGTACGCGTGACATAGGTGTTTCACTGTCATGTATCATCTCCAGTATAAGTCTCTCGTTCTGTGGTTATTAATTTTATATTATTTTATATTGTCGTTATTAATGCTTAAACTACAAATCAGAAGAATCGATTATTGCAGTGGGTTTTATCTCATATGTCCTGGACACACAGCGCACGAATACTGTAGCTTCGCTGACGATCCCAAGGGTCTCCGTAAAAGACTGCACTCGTGAAGCGAACAACTTAGCCGCGAAACGAACCCACGGCGTTCAGAGCGCGAGGCAAACGGCTTGACCACTTCGTTGAATATGATAGTTATTCACATCGGTTTTGCTGCTATTACTCTTGTAGGTAACCACGCGGCTATCAGTTATCGTTCTCATTAAAACAGAATATCTGCCAAGATTTAAAACGAAAGATAAGCAGAAGTGTACGTAGTCACAGTATCACAATCATGAACAACAAAAGAACGCTCTGGGTAGAAAACTTTTAACAAGCATATGAATACAAACGGTCAATGATACACTAATGAACTACACAATATCACTTATCTGTAAGATGCGGTATATCCCAGAAATATCCATGGCGCTTCTGGGCAGAAGAAACTCTAAGTCACGTGTGACACAGGAAGATGATTCCAGATAGGAAGTGAATATTAAAAAAAAAAATTAATTATAATGCATTCGGGCTTTTCGCAGAGGATATCTTTTTTAGATCCACCAATCATAATTTATTCATGAAAAAAATCTGCATTTATCTAAAAAAGGCATGACATCTGTCTGTGTGGGTTTCGGGGCCCAGTTGTAGGGGGGAATACACGAATATACCGACTGCTCCCCACCCCTCCTCTCCCCCGATAAGCATGTCGTAACATTCGACAGTTGGAGTGCATCTGCCTGAGAGAAATGGAACCAACAGTCTGCATACAAATAATTCAGATCTGTAAAACCGTGAGATGCTCTAATATAAATTTGAAACGGTTGAACTTGATATTCACTACTAGATGCATTCACAACTTAGTCTGGTTCTTCGTAAATCACTTTTTACATTTTAAATCGTCACAACTGGTGCAATATTAATTCTACTTTTGTAATGCGGTGCAATATGATTGATACTATTTGTAAAGTCTGCAGTATTTGTAAGATTCTAAGTACAATTTTATAATTGTTAGATACATGTTGCAACTATTTTTTTTACCTTGAGGTTAGTGAACGCATTTAACAGTCCTCGACCTACTAGTGTTCTCTTTCACCGGTGGGCAGAATTGGGGGGGGGGGGTGGACGGCAATCTGGTGAATTTGGGATGATAGCGAAAGAGTTACACTGTGGAAGAGATAGTCTCAGCCCTTAATATTCCTAAAAGAAATGGATTTGCCACATCCATCTTAGACTGTGGAATTTTAAAGTTATTTGCGTATCCTTTACAGGACGTTGCAGAGCCAACCCTGCATTTTTTTTTTCCTAAGCAAAGTTTACGTTTAGTAGGTGGTCATTGCTTTCTGAACGGCCAGCTCTCGGTACCACTTTCAAACCCAACGCAGGACAAATCGTTTCCTACCTGGGATTGAACCCGACACCTCGGCATTACGAAGCGCGGTCGCAAAGCTGAAGTCACAGACGCCGACCTATTGTGGAAACAGCAAATATAATTAAACCGTGCTGGATTAAGGTAAGAGCTAAATAAGCTGTAGACCTAGTATTGATAAGCGAGATAAAAAAAGTGGGTTGGGGAGGGAGGGGGGGGGGGGGTTGGGGGCGAAAGAAATAAAAGAGGACGAATAAAAGTAAAATGGATAATAGATTCATAGTAGCACAGTGTTCGTCTTAAGTGAGTTTGTGTTAACGAGATACTGCTGTATTTGGAATGGGGGAGGAGGGGGCGGGGGTGGCGAGACGATTGTGTATCGTCCTCACCGGAAAGGTTAACTACAGACTACCACTACTGACTTTGGGGACAGTACGTTGTGGGACCCCAATCTATTCAAAGGGGAGACTCCCGTACAATTTTCCACAAACCATGAGCACATTTGATTTAAACCCTCCAACGTGGGGAAACGGGCCCTGGTACTCGAAGATCCTGAAAGTGTTAACCGCATTCGTCAGCCTCTTCCTTCCTACCTACCTTGTTTTGAGGGGGAGACGGGGGGGGGGGGGGGGGGATAACAATTGTCACCGTCAGTCAGCATCCCCGAGGGGGTTAGTTTTAGGTTATAATTGTGACTAGGTTTTTTGCGCGATAAAAAATGGCTTAGGATTGCTTGCCATCGAGTAGCCCTGAAAAAGACTGGTGTATTTTTTATGCGTTCAAAGGAGTCGGAGTCACATACTGTACAGGCCAGCGACGAAGTCTTCTACCGGCGAGCCAGTGAGCCAGCCTCTAAGCCAACGTGTCGCACATTGCTGTATTGCAGTAAGTGGAAGATTGACACAAATAAATTACCCAAGGCAGGTCGACGCCACAAATCCAAGCAGGTGGTTTCACAGCCGGTTTTACACTTTATCACAGACTTGTTTGAATCGTCTGGAAGATAAATAAGTGTATACATAGATGGCGCTTGTTGAAAGAACCGAGGATGGAGACGGAAACAAACCTCGATATGTTGACAGCTCAGGGTGTTATAGATCACTCAGCACATCCGCAAGGAACAGCATGTGCAGTCTTAAAGCAGGGGTAGTTTGTCTGTATTCTGAAGTTGTGGATTCAGGCTGTACGATAGAGATCGTTAAAGAAGTGGCAATTTTTTTAGGGTTGCCTAGTTGGTCATGCGACTTAGCACACTTACTCCTGCAGGGAGGCGTTGTCGTTGTTTGGCGGTATGCGTTTACAGCTCAAGGTGTTGTGGAACACTCATCATAGCCGCAAGAAGCGGACAGATGCCGCGTTAAAGCTAGGGGGTTTTGTCTGTGTTATGTTATGTTATGACAATCTAAGTCACTACACATTGGCATTCCAATGCGTGCTCAGTCCTCTCATGCAGCAGCCACTCTAAGGTACTTCTAATAATTATTCCGAATATAGGTTGGGTACACTGTCTCGTATCTAGGCCTTGAAGGCAGCTAAGACGTGCTTCACCATCATATACTCCTATGTCATGCACACGTTTTAGTGTCAGACATTCATCATTATCTACTAGCCCAGTCCGTACAACATTGATGATATCTGTTCTTTCCATGCTTCTTTCCACGTGCGCTGATGCATTGCTTGTCAGTTGGTCCGCTCACTCGTAGCCCTTTACGCCAGCATAACCAGGTATGTAGATATAGGTAAGGGCGGTTAAGTGCAACTTTTGAGTGCTTTTTACCCATAAAAAAAATAAGACCTACCCCAAAAATAAGCCCTTTTTAAGATCGTCAGCTAGAATTCAGGTTTTAAAATGTTCATTAAAGAAAAGCGTTATTGCCAGAGATGATAGAAGTCGACAGTCGACCAAGGGTTCTAGGGAAAAACATTTGAGTCCCAAGAAACTCAGGCCGTTTTTTTTTTTTTTTCAGGATTTGGACAGCCATAGCGAATGTCACAAGATTTGTTTTTTTTTTTTTTTAAATAAAGGCAGAATTTTATATAGGAATAAATTTTTATTTTTGTTTATGAGAAAAAGACATCCTCCGTAAATAAACGGTAATGCATTTTTTAGCCAGAATTAATATAAGCCCGGTTTTATTTTCTGTGAAACACGGTAGCTGGTCATGCGACTTAGTTCATCTGTTCTGGCTGTGAGGCGCTGTTGTTATTTCGGGATGACTGGTTCGATTCCCGGCCCGGTTACTGTAGCTTTCTAATTTTATGTTGTTTAATGTGTCCTTCTCTCTTTCTGGGTCTTTCTTTCTGGGTCTGTCAATGAAATATATGTATAGAGCAGAGATGGGCCTAGTTTCTTTTCCCCAAGGATCATATGGATTCAAAAAACATCGTTCTCTGGTCGTACCAAACCCGCTAGCACTTCTCCGGCTTCCTGACTAGTGGTTTCCATCCTTGTCCAAGTGGCGCCCCCTTGAGTATATGACAAGACCACCAACGCCCCGTTCCCACCAACATGACAAATTGTGATGAAAAAGAGGACAAAACTAAAAATCCCAACCTGTTAAAAAGTTATAGGGAAGAGAAAAAGTTGGTAAGAAAAAACAAACAGTTTATGTAAGCTTTACAAAATCGATCACAATAAACAAACAAAGGACGTTGCGGCGATTAGCCTTCATCAGCACATAAAGAACAATACAGTACACATAAAATATATGCTCTAACAATGAAGTGACTACATGGGACTAATGTACAAAATAAA